CTCAACAGCTGTTTACCCAATTTAAATTAAACCATTTAAATCACATGAATAAAAAAATTTGGATCCATTTTTTCATGAGCGCTCCTCATATATGATATATGGACATACGCACATACATTCATACAACACAAAACAGAAGTGTGCACATATAACACAATACATACAACACATAACATAATAGTAAAGGCCTTGTAGCTTTTCACAGGTGAAATCTCCATTGAAATGTTTAAAAATAGAACTGATCAGAAAAACATTAACCTAGGTCCGTATGAGCTCAAAAAATAAAATAAAACTTCATGATGTGGGAAAAGGCAATGATAAAATAGATATTGAAAAAGGCATCCTGGTTACCACCTGGGCTTGACTCTTCTTATGATATCCCATCCTTCCTCCTATAACTTGCATATGAGTCTGAAGGTATTCCCACAAGTAAGCCCCAAGGTTTCTTACATTTGAAATAGGCCTTAATGGTGTTCATTATTCATTAGCGTCCAGGTGTGGGAGAATCACTGTCGCAGATGTAAGGATATCAGCTGTTATGGATTTGAGCCAAGTCATCTTCTTTTTGGTCTGCGGAAATCGCTTTAGTTAATCTCTCTGGAATCCAAATCATTTTAATACAGTTAAAATTACTTATAAATTACTAGATAGAATAGTAACATGAAATGATCCTCTTATAATACAATATAATCACAACAATAAAAAAATATTATAAAATCTAGTAGTCATGGAGAAGGGAATAATCAATGTTTCCTGTAGTAATAACTACAAATTTTTGATTGCCTGCCATATGTCAGACTCTGTACTTATTCATTGAATAAATACATGTAGCCCACCTACTGAGTGCCAGGTACATATGTACTTTGTTAGGAACTGGGAAATAGAACCGATATGCTACCTGCCCTTATCTAGAGCCTCTTTATACTAACCTCATGTAAGAGGTAGATTTTATAGCTGAGAGAAAACTGAGGTCTGAAAGGTTAACTTGACCAGTTAGTGAATGATAGAACTAGGATTTGAAAATAGATCTGATGCAAAGCCCACAGTTTCCCCCAGAGCCACTGAGAAGTGAGAGGGTGCAAGCATGCACTGTTATACAGAGCCGTGAAGCCTAGTAGCTCACATTGCCCAGACATTGCTATGCCTCCCTGTACCTCTTCCCTCCTGCCTCATTCCCTTGCAATCAGTTGGTGCATATCATTTCAACTTAGAGTATTCATTGTAACTTTTTTCTTTAAACAAAAATAGAATCATATTACACATATTATAATCTATAAGTTGCTTTTCCCCTTGTATTTACATTGTTCTGTGTTCTTAAAAGACATTTTCCCTTCATACATGTTACATAATAGAATAAAAAAACTTTCTGTTTTATAGGCTCCAAATTACATAATGATCTTTTTATTATGTTGTTTATAATAATAGATTTTGTATTCATAAAAAGCATCTTTTATAGAAATTGTAGTTTTATATCTACAACATGAAATGATCCTCTGTAAAAAGTATTATTGCCATACTGGTGTAAGATTTGTTATGTAGCTAGATTTAATCACCAGAGCAAATGCTTAATTATACATGAATTCTTGAAATACAATTAACTATTGGAATTTCTTCTTTATCACAACTACTCCTGGTTGAGAAGTTTCATTTGCTTTTGTGTTGCTTATTAGTAAAATAAGTAAAGTAAAATGCAGAAGGACTGAAGCCAGTACTGAAACCAGAGGACTTGGCTCTACCTAATGAAGGCTAATTCATTTCATTACTTCATAAATGGGATAGATGTGCCACTGGGGGTAAAAACTGGCAAACTATGGCTCTATATTGGCTTTTGATGGAAAACATGATTTTAAGTATATTCATCTATTTTCTTATTTTCATTGTTTTGAGTTTTAATACGTTAAAAGACCTTTTTTAAATTTTTAAATTACAGACTCGAGTTATAGCAGTTTTGGATTGGGAACTTTCGACCACTGGTCATCCTCTGTCAGATTTAGCTTATCTTTCTCTGTTCTACTTTTGGCCAAGGACCATTCCAATGCTGCATCAAAGTTCTCAAATTCAAGAAAGCATAGGTACAAAACATAATGTTGTCTAAGTTGCTATTAACATAGAATTATCTTTATTATTATCATAACTAATTATATTGTAATTTTAGTTTTTGTTTCTTCCAAATGTTTCTCATTAATTTTAGTTATCAATTTTTATATTGTATTTCATGTTAGTAGTTTATGATAAAATATAGTCCTTTGTATATAATGTTCTTTTGAGAATCAATATTTAGAGCATGTTTTGATGTATGGATTAATGGTTATTATATTATTTTACATGTATATATCATATTGTAACATTTTGAAATATTCACCCTCTCTTTTTATTTAAGTTTATATTGTGTACTATTTGTACAGGAATACCATCAATGGAAGAACTGGTTTCAATATATTGCCGCTACAGGGGAATTAATCCTATTCTTCCTAACTGGAATTTCTTTCTTGCATTTTCATATTTTAAACTGGCTGGAATAGCACAGGTAATTATTTGTTTTGAATATGTTTAATCATTATTTACTAATGTACTGTTAACAGTATTTTTTGATCTTCAGGATTTGTTATTTTTTAATCCTTAGACTATTTTGCTTTTCTTAAAGATCAGCTATCAGTTATGGAGAAAATGTAAATCTACAGAATAGGACCTTTAGTAAGGGAAATTTTGAGTAGAAAAATGTTTTGCCACTTTTTTATATAATAAATGTAGGAGAAGGAGGGTGAGAGAGAGAAAGACATAATGACAGCAAAAAGCAGGTAGAAACTGGCCATTTCCTGAATATCCAATGTGAAAACAAGCTACACTCTTTTGAGGCTCCCTGCTTCAGACTAAAAAGTCATTAGCTAACCAGAACTGATGATAAGGGAAGAATCCCAGTACCTTATATATGGTAGCTGCTTATTACATTTTTGAGTGAATAAATGACTAAAATTTTGCATTTTCTAACAGTCATATTTAATGTAATAAATTTTGAGAGGATATTGAGCATAAATTCAGGTTTTCTCCAATTTTAATATAAACAAATGCCTTCTTTTTTCTTATACAGTTTCCAGCTACCTTGAATTTTAAGGGTTTTAAGAAATTGAGATGCTTCATCAAAAGTAGGATTTAGAAAAAGAACAGTAAATAAGAGATTTCAGAAACTTTTTAATGAGAAAAGAAGGAATAAAGAAAATTACATTTAATTTTCTTTGTCCTCAGAATTTATGCTATCCATGAACAACTGAAATCTCCTCCAGGAAATAGTATATTACATCTCATCCTATATTCTAATAGCTGATGATGTTGAATGAATGGATTTCTTGAAATGTGTTCAGTATCTGTCAGTTTCTATAAATCAGATACCAAATAGACTTTAAATTTAAAATGATTTTCRTTTCAAATAAAAATTTGACATGAGTTATAATTGAAATTAAAATATTCATTGTAAACTACATAGTAATAGCCTTAGAAGTGATCACAAACATTCCATTCTAACTGGAAATGTAAAATTGGAAAGATAGGAAAATCTTTACATTGTTTATTGCATAAAGAATTACATAAAGAAAATAGTAATAAAATCCAATCACTTGTATTTAGAGGGATGGGAAGGGGTGTTTATTATATTGGAAGTACAGAAATGGAGAATTATTTTTAAAAACTGATTAATATTCAACTAACACAGTTCAAAGGAAGCTGTAATAGTAAATTACTGTAATAGTAAATAGTAAATTACTAAATTAAGGGTCCACAAATGAGATTAAATATTAGAGGTCATCTCATTGCCTTCTCTTTGCCTTTACAGATTTTGATTTCTTTAGATTTACCCTCACTGTGAAGAGAAGGCAGTGATTGTTAGAGATGTTAATTGCAGGTTTGATGTCTTTGGTAATTGCTAGGATCCTTTTCAAGTTTGTTTTGATTATCAGTTACAATTTCCCCTGGATGAGAGTGTTTTAACTACATGATACCAGTATGACCTTTTAATTTAGTGGGGTATAATTATTACTCCTACATGTGAATTTATGGCATTGGTAGACTAATTTACATCTTTGTATTTTGAATTTAATTCCCCACATAGCTGAGAAACTTTGGAAAGACTGATTGGATGGCTGAAGGACAGTTTTCAATAAATTTTAATTGCCCTATGTTAATTTATTTATAGGGAGTATATAGTAGATATCTTTTGGGAAATAATTCATCTGAGGATAGCTTTCGGTTTGCCAATATTGTGCAACCTCTGGCAGAAACTGGATTACAACTCTCAAAAAGGTAAGGAAAACAGAGTCCTTCAGTAATTCAAATTAGAGCCTTAATTAGGTCTGTTTGGAATAAGTTCACAGAGAGTAGGGAGGAAAATATATAATTAGGTATGTGAAGGTTATTCATTCACTAAGAAATAATTAGGTATGTGAAGGTTATGAACATAATGAGATAGGCATTATTTTTGTTGATGGTACCAGGATTTCTGTTGCTAGTTATGATAGTATTTTGGTAAAATATCTTATATGCATAAAAATAAATTGACCCAAAATGAAAAGAAAATTCCCATATTTATGATTAGAAAAAATTACCATATTTTTATCAGTTTAAATATATAACCTTTTAAAGATATAGGTACAACTCAAATGTTTCCTTCTAATATTTGACTAATAGTTCCTTCTAATATTTTAAATATAACTCTTTAAAATTATGTAGTATATAAGCTTATTTATTACTATAGAACTATTACTTTCTCCCACAGTATTTTATTCATACACTTCATAAGTGTATTTTTTTATTAGCTACACATGACATTACAATGATCTTGGCAATTCATACATTTGAATGAATTGGGGTATAATTTCTCATTTTTCTGATTGTACAGATTGCAGAATCACATTGGTCATACAGTCCCCTATATACATACAGCAATCATAATGTCTATTCTATTCTGCTGCTCTTCCTATCCCCCTCCCCCTCCCATCACTTCTCTCTATCCAATCTAATATGACACACTTTTTTTTCTTTTTCTCCTCACAACATCATACATGTATTCTGTATAACAATGAGGGTCTCCTTCCATCTTCCGTGCAACTCCCCTTCATAAGTGTATTGAAATCCATGTCTCTATCATTAGAACGATTTTTGAGGCATCTAACACCCTGTTCTAGTTATACTCCTGTTACTGAATACGTGTATAATGTTGTCCCTGGAAATTTTTGCCTAAGCCACAAGTACCTGCAGAATAGCATTACAATAGTTGGTTTTCCACATTTCATCATATAGATGGATACTTGTGATCTGTAACAACATGATAACCAACTGTTGTTCTTTGTGTTTACCTTTAAAGGTCTTCTTTAGAATTACCTTGAAGTCATATTTGTGTTTCTTTTAGTATAAGTATTAAATTTGTGTTCAGTTTCCTCATTTTTAGTGACTTTGACAGATGGCTTCAACAAAGATTCAAAACTAGCATTGATTGAGGTCATGCTAGGCTTATGTTTTCCCAAATACTGCTTTAAGCATTAAAGTTTAATGTTCAAGGTAAGGTGATTCTATATTTACCCCATAATACGAAAGACAACAAAAATTAAAATATGGCAACTCTCTTTGAGGGATATTCAGGGGAGCTGGAAGGCAGACTTTACATTATCTTCTTCAGAAATAGATAATTTTGATTTTGAACATATTGATAACTTTTTTTTTTTTCTTTTCTGGTCAAGAACTTTTAGTACTGTGTTGCCACAGGTTGATACTACAGGAAAGTTGTTCCTACAGACTAAGAAAGGCCAGGAAGTTCTTATGGAGGTGAAGCATTTCATGAAAAAACACATTCTTCCTGCTGAAAAGGTATTTTATAAACAATGTTATGTGCTAAAAGGCTATTGAATACTTTTGTTATTTCTGCTTGTAGGAGAACCATGGTGTTATTTTATTTGCAGTCAATTCTTACTCAGATTCCCCTCCTCTGTCTTACACAGAACCTAAGAAATTCCAAGCTTCTAAAATATGACAGTGGGAGAAGCAGGGTATGGGAGTGCATGTCTGTAATCCCAGGGACTTCAAAGAAGTCAGGTTTTTACTGAGGATTAGTGGATAAAGCAGGGCCCTCCATGTACTGGTTTTCTGTTTTGCTTTTGTTGCTTTTAGTTGGGGCGGGTAGAGATTGAATAGAGACTCTAGTGTGCCTGTCAGCCTCCCTCATTCCTATCTGCTCACCCTAAAATGCAGTCTGTGAGTTGTCTCTTTCACTTATAAATGTGAATAGGCATTCAGTGGACACTGCAGCACTGAAGAGTCAGTGATACTCCACTGGCATTATTGTCATGCAGCAGTTAAAATATTGCAAAGAATCTGCAATAAAATAAAATGTTGTATAAGTTTTTTAAAAAGGCAGCCTGTATCTTTTTTTAAAATGAGAGAGAGAGAGAGAAGAGAGAGAGAGAATTTTTTAGTATTTATTTTTCGGTGGATACAACATCTTTATTTTTATGTGGTGCTGAGGATCGAACCCAGCGCCCCGCACATGCCAGGCGAGCGCGTTACCACTTGAGCCACATCCCCAGCCCCTAGCCTGTATCTTTAAGGAGAAGGTTTTCCATGTTTTATGTGGCAAGGAAACCCACAGTCATTTTGTCTTTACAAATCTTTGAAATCTGGAATGTAGCCATAACTGACAATGTGCACTTTTTCTTCTTTTAAAAACTTGTACTAACATCTGTAAAAATGTTTTATTTGGTAGAATGATTCTCAATGATGCCAATCCCTGACGGTAAGACATACACATTTGAAATTGGAGAAAAATAAATAGCTTTTTCAAAATGGAAGGGGAGAAATCCTATATAAAATCTATCTAGTAGTATATAACTGAGTTTTACAAAACCTAAAACAGTCACATTTATAAATTAAGTTTGTGTCATAAAACAGCAACATTTTAGCATTACCTTTAGCTACTAAGACTCTCAATGACTTTATATTTTTACATAGTTTTCAAGTTTTTATGATATGAAAAAATAAGCTTCACAAAACTATGGCAATGAACTTTTGATATTCTTTGAATAGAATAAACTGAGAACATAATCCATTATCTGTGAAAATAGTAAAAGTCAGTTCTTCCCATTTAAAATTGATAAAGAATCCTAAAAACAGCATGTAAAACATAAACCATGGAACTGTTGATTCTTTCTAGTAGACTTAAGTTTAAAGTAAAAATCATATACTGTGAAATTATTTGTATGCTAAGATTTAAGATTCTGAACTAATATATTCCTCAGTTAGTAGATGAAGAAGTACCAAATTAAGGTTGATATTTCGAGAATATTAACCAGGCTCAAAATATATTTTTTGCTTTTGTCTTTCACCAACAGTTTGTTTGTTTTTTTTTTTTCCTTTTGAGCTGGAGTCTTGCTTTATTGTCATGCTGGCCTCAAACTTTGAGGTCAAGCTATCCTCTTGTCTTAGCCTCTCAAGTAGCTGGGGCAACAGAGGTATATTACAGCACCTGTAGCACCTGGCTTATTAAATTATTTTTCATACTTTAAGAACTGAGACGGACTTTTTTTTTTTGGTAATGAGGTGTTGTGACACACAACTAAGTCATGGTCACTCCAGAAGAACTAGGCTGGCACTATTTAAAGACACCCAGACAGAAAAATACCTTTCTTTGGTTTCTATGACTCCTCTGACCCAGTTCCCACAAAAGGAGGCAAAGCAGGCAAGAAAGAGAGGAAGCACGCCTTGAACCCGGGTTTTATTAATGAGGGGACTAATCCATGGAACATTCTATCCAAAAAAGGGCAGAAGGGTAGAATTACAACAAACAAGTGGGTGTAATTCAACCCCATCAGGTGACACCCACTTCCAGAGCTGCACCTTTCTTATCCAAGCTGAGGTAAAGTCCACTTTCATTGTAGGGTGCAATACCAGTCCAATACCTCTTTACTCAGGACTTAAAGATGTGTGCATAGCTCCTGTTCAGGGCAACCCCCTGACAATGAGGTATTTTATTTAATTCTGAATCACAAATAGATTTTTCAGTTCCCTAAATGATGTTAGAATATAAAGTATTAAATAATGCAAGTAAACACTGGCATAATTTAATTCTTTAGAACTTTAGTATTGCTGTGATTTAATTTCTTAGAACTTTAGTATTATAGAGAGGTAGTCAGAGATAAGGAAATTATAATATGTTTATTACCAAACACAATAGCACTGACTATTTCTATAGCAACATGAGGAATAGAAAAAATAAACAACCTTAAACAGGAAATCTTCCAATTTAACTGATTTCCTGACAGAAATGACAACAGCTATTTATCCTTGTACCTTTGAAAGGACAGATCTTTGCCTTGTTGAAGTTATCACCAAATAAAGCAGGACTCCAAGGTAGCCATCCTTCAATGAAAAGAACATTTCAATACATTGCTTATATGAGTGTCTTTTGGTCTGAACAATTTTAGAAATAATTTGATAATAAAGTAAAGAGTTTTGACAATGTTTATAGCCTTTAACCCAGTTAATTCTACTAGCCTGGGAAGTATGAGCTTGTTTTGTTGAATTATTGTTTTTGCTAATTCTTGCTTATGGTGGCTTGTTTGCTTGAGTGATTAGTAATTTTTTATGGTATGCTCATGTTTCTTGGAATGTAATTTTATCTGTGGAAAAAAATAAAAACAGGTACAGAGATACAATAATAGCAGTACATTGCAGAATACTTATGTAGTCCAATATTTTCGTTATGTTTTAACTTCTTTTAGTTGCATACACTAGAAGTTATTACTGTTTTATTTTACTAGGTTTATATTTAGATTTACTCACATATGTGTTACTTTATTGATTTATTATTCTTTCTTGCAACTCAAGTGTTTCTTCTAGAATCAAGTTTGTTAGGGAGAATCTGCTTGCTAAACTCTTGTTTGTCTTTCCCTATTTTTTGCGGGGTGGGGGATACTGAGTGGGTAATGACTTTTTTATTGGTAATACCTTTATTTTGCCCTAATTCTTGAAAGGTAGTTTTATTTTTTATATAGAATTATAGGTCGATAGTTATTTTCACTCAGCAATTGAAGATATTTTCCCACTGATTTTTGGCTTCATGTGTTACTATGGATATCAGCTTTCAATTTTAATTTTTTAATTATCAATAATCTCTTTTTCCCTTTAAGAGATTTTCTTTTTCTCTGATGTTCTGTAGTTTTACTATGCTTTATCTTCATTTTATTTTCTGAATTTGAGAATTGACTTATCAGTTCTGAAAACTTCTTGGAATAATTTTTCCAAATTTCCAAAAATTTCTCCAAATTTTTTGCAGTTTGGGGAACTACAAAAAAGATGGAAACATTCTTTTCATCTAAGACTCCAGTAAAACTTATGTTAGAGCTGGACTTAATTGTGCACGCCTATAATCCCAGCTGCTCAAGAGGCTGAGGCAGGAGGATCACAAGTTCAAAGCCAGCCTCAGCAAAAGTGAGGCACTAAGCAACTCAATGAGAGCCTGCCTCTAAATAAAATACAAAATAGAACTGAGGATGTGGCAGAATGGTCGAGCGCCCCTGAGTTTAATCCCCGGTACCAAAATAATAATAATAATAATAATAATAATAATAATAATAATAATAATATTATTAGAACTTCTCTCTAAATCCATTATATCCCTTAACCACTCATATTTTTCTTCTCTTGAATTTCTCTTCTTCATCCTGAGTAATTTCTTCAGATCTTTCTTCCATTTTTTTTAAGCTGTATGTAGTCTATTTTTCATCCATATAATAGCAGTTCTCTAATTTTGTTGTATGTCAGAATTGCCTAGAGGCCTCTAAAGAACACAGAAGCCCAGGCTCATTGAAGTAGGTTAAGGCCTGTGCCCCTGTTTTTTCACCAAGTTCACCAAGTGATACTGATAACACCAAAGTTTGAGAATCCCTGCCACAGAGGTTTTATGTTTGGGGAAGGTTTTTTTGTTTTTTTTTGTTTGTTTGTTTTTTGTTTTTTTGTTTTTTGTTTTTTGGGTTTTTTTTGCACCAGGGTTTGAACCCAGGAGCCAGGAGTACCTAACCATTGAGCACATCCCCACACTTTTTTTTTTTTTTTTTTTGAGTCAGGGTCTTGCCAAGTTGCTGAGGGTCTTGCTAAATCTGACTTTGAACTTGCAATCCTCCTGCCTCAGCCTCCTGAGCCACTTGGATTATGGATGTGCACCACACACCCAGCTCTGCCACAGAGTTCTTAAGATTAATTATTGAGGTTATGTTTTTCTCGAGTTGCATTCATTATTTTTAAATTTGCCTTGTTGATTTTGATAGTTCTTTGACAGAATTTTAATGCTTTTGCTTTTGAAATCTATTGCATACAAATATTTTTTATCATGTCCTCACTGTTACTCTATCTGTATCTGTAGTCTTTGGGAAGTATGAGCTTGTTTTGTTGAATTATTGTTTTTGATAGTTCTTGTTTATGATGGCTTGTTTGCTTGAGTGATTAGTAATTTTTCATGGTATACTCATGTTCCTTGGAATGTAATTTTATCTGAGGGAATTATTTAAGGCCTTTATTCTAAAGCCCTTTCTTTCAGAGAAGATTTACTTTTGTTTCTGCCAAGTGCTCGTGGACACTGTCACCAGGAATGTTGTAAACTTTTTTTTTGGTTTGAGGTTTTCTCCCTAAAACCACACAGGACTTGAATTCAGATCCCAAACTTGGTTGAAGGCAGACTAAGTTAGAAGAATCTCTTTTTTCTATTCTACTCAGAACTAAGACCCACATATGATTCTCTACTTCTATGGACTACCTCAGAGGGGTGGGATTTTATTTTTTTTAAGTACTGAAGATTAAATCCATGTGTGCTCTACCACTGAGCTATACCTGTACCCCTTTTTATTTATTTATTTTTTATCTTGAGACAGGGTCTTGCTAAATTGCTGAGGTTGGCTTCAAACTTGCAGTCCTCCTGTCTCTACCTCCCAAGTTGCTGAGATTACAGATGTGTACCACCACACCAGTCTAGGGGTGTGTATTGTGTGGTTTTTTTAATGTATTCTTTAATGTTTGTTTTTTTAAGTTTTATCCATCAAGAACCCTGGCTTTGGTGGAGAAAGAGGTGATCTCAGATCCTCCCTCTTGCTTTTTGTCTGGACACCTGCCTATGTGGCCCATTAACACCCATGGCCTAAGCAAGCATAGATCAGCCTCTCTGGCCCAGACAAACTTGGCTCTAGAACTCTCTCACATCTTAAAAATCAGGCCTGTTTTTTTTTGGCCCAAAGGGATTTCTTATTTTCCTTCCAGCACAGCCTTGCATTACTAAATGTATTTCAAAATTGTTTTTAATATTTTACCTAACCTTTTTAGTTGAGGGATTTCTATGCCCATCTAGCATATTGCTGGAAATGAAACACTCAAATCTTGGTTATTAGATTTTTACTATCTAATATTGAGGCAGAATAATTTTGTGAGCAGCAAACCTTTAGAATTTTTGTTATTCTGTTTCTGGTTTTAAAAATATTACTGATTTAATAGAAGCTGAAAAAGTTTCTTCACTCAAAAATGTTTACTTTTGATATTATCCACTTGTAACATTATCTACTTTGGTTAACTTAAGCCAATTTTTTTTATTACCTTAAGGAGGTATTTGAATACTATGTTCAAAATGAAAATTCCATAGAGAAGTGGAAACAACCTTTAGTGATTGATAAACTCAAGGTAAGAAAAATGAGAGAATCTTTAATATTAGAAAATGCAAGTGTTTTTAGAGATCTTAGTTTTTGTTGTTATGTACTTAGAAGATAATCATCAGTAATTTTTAGAAGAAAGCTCAAAAGCAGAATCTATAAACAATAAATTGGGCTATATATTGTTCTATATATGGTATGTGATTTTAGCTATTCAAATAAAAATGAGATTAAAACTTCATGATCACCTATCACTAAACTAAGATCAAAGTCAAAGCAGGCACTTGGGAGCTTAGAGTGTAGGGTGTAGCTTCATTGTAGAGAGTTTGCTCAGCATGAGTAAAACTCTGGGTTCAATCCCCAGAACTGAAAGGAAAATAATAAAATAGGGCATTGTCCCACCTGGGCTTAATCCACCTTTCTCATTTTCAAGTCTTACTCGCAACATGTGTAAGAAATTCAAACACGTAAAATAGTGTATTTGGCATAATTATGCTCAAGTATGGGAGATTTAATAAGCTCTAAAGTAAGCAAATTTAGTGTTTTTGTTTTTGTTTTGCCAAATCTAAGGAAAACTGGAAGAAAAGACATTTCTTGAATAGTTAAGAAACTCTTGATTTATAAGGAATTAATAACTGCTTGGTTTTATAAAAAAAAACTTCATATTTTTAATTCAGAAAGCATAAACACCAATATCTTTTTAAAATAAGATCATTTAGGTCCTAATGAATTCTGTTCACTTTGGCTTTTTCTTCACCTTGACAGGAAATGGCCAAAGCACAGGGACTCTGGAACTTGTTTTTGCCAGCTGTGAGCGGTCTGAGCCAGGTGGACTATGCCTTGATAGCTGAAGAAACAGGAAAATGCTTTTTTGCTCCAGATGTCTTTAACTGCCAAGCACCAGGTTACTAATTAATTCAAAACAGAATTTTCTCGGATACTTTTGAGTATTATTTAAAATTTCTACCCTTCATGGATAAAGTTTTTCTACATAGTCACTGATTTATAAATTTCTCTATATAACTTTTATTTTTCATATGCTTTGATTTAAATATAAAAATGGACTTGATGTCTTGAGGTTCTCATTGAACTACTCTTTTGTTAAACATCATTACAGTAAGGGAATTGGTGAAGAAAAGTAGCTACAAAAGGGATTGGTTATATGAGGATCCTGATTTCCTAATTGGAGATTTGGTATTTCTACGGCTCATGAGATTGAATAGAATTCCAAATCTTTTGGTTAGCCTCCCTATCTCTCCATTCATTTGCCAATTATTGATTATCTACTATGTGCCAACCACAAGTCTTTATGATAGGGAATAAAATAGTGAACCTTGCCTTTAAGGGTCTAATTCTAATAGAGGGAAACAAAAATAAATAATAATGATAAGAAATAAGTAAATTAAGCAGTAAATCTGAGGATGAAAAGTACTTTGTAGCAAAAATAAATAGCAGGATAGGGGTAGGTTACAATTATGAGAAAATGACATTTAATAAAGAGGTAGAAGGTGATTGAGTGACTTATCAGCTCTACTGATACTTGGTGGGGAAGGGAAGTTTTCATAGCAGAAGGAACAGAAAATTCAAAGACCCAAAAGCAAAAGTGTTATTGGTGTATTCCAGATATAACTAAGGAGGCCAATGTGGCTAGAGGTGCCGAGGTCCGGCTGCAGCAAAATAACCGGGGGTGACGAGCAACTTGTGTAGATTGATACAGCAGGAGTAGGAGCCCTTTATTGTAGGACAGGAGCGGTATTTATACATTCCACACAGCTTATCTTAATTAACATAAACTAGATACAGCAATCAACCAATAAGGAATCTCCACACTTAATGGTTCGCTGGCGTTACTTCATAAAACACTCCCCCTGGCAAAATGCCAGGCACCATCCTGACTTGTTTACAGACTCTAACATAGAGGAAGAATAGCAGGAGAAGGGTTCAGAAAGGAAAGGGCCTCATGTGTTGGGCCTTATTGGGCAGGTAAGGGGTTATACCTTCAGAAAGAAGAGGAACTTTTGGGAATTTGGAGCAAAGCAATGATAAGATTAACTTCAGATCTAGAAGAATCACTTTGGCTGCTATGTGAGAACTGAGGGAAGGTGGGAAGCAGGAAGTCTACTTCAGTAATCCTGGTGAGAGATGATGACGAGGGTAGTTGTGGAGGGAGTGGTGAGTGGAAAGATTCTAAGGATATTTTGAAGAGGGAACCAAGAGGATTTCCTGATTAGATATGGGTTGTTAATGGAGGAGTCAAGGATGCCTCTGAGGATATTTGTGAAAAATCAAATGAAGGAAGGAGAGGTAAACCTAGAATGTAGTCTGTTGGAGGTATTTTCAGACCTGAATTTGTAGAACTGCTTAAGAAGCTTTGGGGAAATTCATATTCCCAAGCTCCATCTCTACAGATTCTAATTTAGTATATCTAAAGTAGGAATGGAACGTCTCCCCCTTCTCCTGTCCCCAGTTACTCTGGTTATTCTGATGCTATTAGTCAAGGACTTTCACTTGATTTGTAATAGGATGATAGTATCCCCACACAAGTTTCATGCTCATTGTATGGCCTTGTGGCTAAGGCTTTCCCCAAGAGTTACAGCAGTATTAAGCTGCCAAAAAAAAAAAAAAAGAGATATATGCAACTATATTTGAATTCTGGGAGAAAACATATCCTGGATTTAGCAAAGTGGCTTCATTCCAGACTTTATCTCTCTCTCTCTCTCTTTTTTTTTTTTTTTTTTTTTTTTTTGGCATTACTAAGACAGTTCATAGACGTCTGATGATGACAGAGCTTGGCCCTGAGATGATTTCCCTTTTCAAAATACTGATCCAAAAATCACTCTACTGCATTGTAATCTAATAATGATACATTGTAAATGAAAAGGAATCTTTCTGCAAAGTTTCTGAAGAGTTATACCAATTGAATAAAGCTATTACAATATACTACAATAGGTAGCATGAGTTTGTAGAAAGGGAAATTAATTAGTGATCTTCTAACTTGAAACGTTTTTATTGCTATTCATGGTAAGAAATATACATTATATTGTGACCAAATATGTAGCATTTGCATGGGTAGATGGATGGAGGATGGATAAATATTCCTACATGTTACAAGAAACAAAAGTTTCATAAAACAGTACTTTCGATTACTACATGTAGTGCATTCAGATATTTCCCACTAAATCTAATCTAATGTATTCTGTTTTATTTTTTAAGGCATGCTAGCCATATTTCATCAGACTGATTCCATGATACACAAATGGCCATAATATGACAAATAAGTCTCTAGGAGACATTCTTGCAGATGCAGCTCTCCCATTATTTTCCATTTGACCTGCGAGCTCACTTGTTACTAGATCTAGGTCATGGATTTTTCCTCATATTAAAATTTCATAAGTCTATCACTTGTATTATTTAAATGATATCAGAAAACTGTTGAAATTTTCAAATTGGGCAGGAAAATATATGTTATTTGATCAAGGAATGATTAGCAACTCAGCAAGTAAGATATATAAAACTGGAAGTAGAATCAAACCGTGTAATATGATGTATTAAGAACTATGTAATGTTATGAACGACCAATAAAAAAAAAAAAGAAAAGAAAACTAGGTGTTTTCTTTTGTGGTAGAGATATCTTCATGAAAGCCTTGAACATTGTGTTTTAGAGCATTTCCAAAGCAGATGAAGAAGGGAATGTAAGTGATGCTGTTAAAGTTATGAACTTTCTTAACTACAAAAGATCAGTTTCTATCCAAGTTACCTAAATCATTTCCCAGATACCATGATTATAACATGTGTTTTTCCAATTTGTATATTTACCCTTAAATAAATCATACAATATTGTATATTGTATAATAGCAGTTTTAATCCCAAATCTACTGCTGGATTTGGGGGCTGTTGGGATGATTTTTTAATGGGAAAACATTTTTTTGTAGAAATAATGGAGCTTACTTTCCCAATTTATAAATGATAATTTTGCCAGCTTCTCAGAATAACTGATAATTTTGGAATATTTAGTCAATATTTATCTTAGTTAAATTATAATAAGTAACACTGAATTTAAAACAAGTAAAGAATGCAAACAATGAGTTTCATCTAATGTAACTCAAGACTAATTTTCTCTCTCATTTAATGTGAAGCTTCAATTAATCTACTAGGAATTTTGTGCGTCTTGGTTACATGAAGAATATGTGAACAGAATACAAACATATCTAGAAGGACTTAACTTAGATTTAACTTAGTTTTCATAGGCAATGAAGTAATTATCCTTAAAGTTGTTCTAAGACTTGATACTTAAAAATTGTTCTTCAAAATCTTGAGTAATTTGCACAAAAGGGAGATGTCTTACATAGTATGTTTAGAAATCTGATCGGAGTGAAAATCCATAAAGGTGTCTTAGAGCATTCTATTCATGGAAAACATGAAGCATTGCTTTTTTGCCTGAGGGAGATACCACAGTGTATCATGTACCAAATACTATCATACAAGAGTTGGGAAAGTTATCTGCTGCTGCTTTTTAACCAGGGCAGGGATTCTGTCTTTCACATGCTTGAGAGAAGACTTAGTACTTTTCTGTAGAGCGATGTTAGAGATAAAAATAATTGCTATGAGTTCAGAGGAAAGAGATGTTTCGAATGGGTAATTGGAGGTTCTCGCAGAGAAAAGAGATCATAAGCAGAAATTTATTTACGGATGACTGATAGACTTTCAGAGAAAAGAGCTTGTCCAAGCAAACATGTGGAAGATAGAAAGCCCAGGGCATGTTTGAAGAATAGTATGAAGACTTAAGAAATGGGACCTCAGTCAGACATGTAATGTTAATTGTTCTCTTGAAACATTGCATTTACTCCCTGCAGGGCATACATGATTTGCAATTGTAGCAGGCACCATCTATTCCAGTGAATTGTTTTCTTCAGTCTTACTTGATTTAGACTTTATTGGAGCCATGTGTTGCTGGGATGAACTGGGCAAGAGTCTGATTCAGAAGAAATTAAATAAATATGCACTGAATGCCACATACTTACAACAGTGGCATGCCATCATTGCAAATTGTACTTATTGTGTGTTTCCAAATGTTTTTTTAAGAAAATATTAGCTTTTAAAAGGTGCATGCCTATATTTTCTACATAAAGTTGTGAATTTCATACTAGTAAAATTTTAAACATAAAACAAATGCTTTTTATTCCTATTTGTAGACACAGGGAACATGGAGGTACTGCACCTTTATGGAAGTGAGGAACAGAAGCAGCAGTGGCTGGAGCCTCTTCTTCGAGGGGACATTACCTCTGCCTTCTGTATGACAGGTAAAGGCAAATCTCCACTCTCCCCTGTGTCCTCAGTCATCCTGGAATTGTTATGGGTGAGTTGAAGAAGCATGGAATGTGGCTGTGTGTTTCAGTCAAATTTACCAATGGCCAGAAATGTGAATATGTTTGTTTTGAGCTTGCTTTTAAATTTTGCAGTTTTTAATATGCAGAATAAAATTATCCTCACCTTTGGGAGAACACTGGATGATATTTTTTGGCATCCTGCTTTAGCATTAGTAACAGAGTAAATCTAGTCTCATAACCTTTTAACTTTCATTTCTAAAATTGCTCTCTAATTTAAGATTTTTTTTGTCCTTATGTGTGAAATATTTGTCTTTGTGATAATTTTATATTGATACAAAGTACTCAATTCTCCTGTAAACCTAGAAAAATAGACATATGACTCAAATTATAATCATACAAGAAACTAAAACTAGGAAAATGTTAATAAAAATACTTTTTATACTGTTTATACATAGGAAACAATAATTAAGAAAACTTTAAAAGACAAAACATTGTTTCATGATTGAGTTAAACTGAATTTCAGTTGTCTATAATTAAGTACTTTCAATAAAGGCCAGATTTTATTGTTTTCTATAACTATTTGTAATAACAAAACTGATTTTCACCTAAATGAGTAAGAGGCATTTATTTAACACCCACAGAATGATATAGTGTTTACAATGCACTAACAGGGGGCTACAGAATATGTACAGTCCCTCTCTCAAAAATCTGAGTCTCAAGCTTTAGAAATAGAATACTTCATTCATTCAGGGTTTCCAATGCATATTTATTAAGTACCTACAATGTATAGGAGAGGGGAGGACCAGGGTGGAATTGGGGAAGAATGGAAAATGAAAGACACAAGGATGCTTCTGTTCTTCAGAGTTTGCATTCCCTTATCTAAGCCTCTTTTGCAAACTAATGATATCTGCCTGCCTGTAAATCCAATGTTTGTTTGTTTACAGAGCCTGATGTAGCTTCAAGTGATGCCACAAATATTGATTGTAGCATCGAGCGAGATGGAGATAGCTATATAATTAATGGCAAGAAATGGTGGAGCAGTGGTGAGTGTTCCGCATAATTTTTTCACTCAAAAGATTGGTCCTTTGTGTTATAATAATGCTATGACTCACAGATACTAATTTCATGATCAAAATTCTTTAAGTTCTGCCTTTGAAAGCATTTTCAAATTTAGAAATAGTAGATAGAGAAAAAGTAATTTATAAAAGATAATCTGTGCATGTTATTAAAAAAATTTATTATGGGAGTATAGCTCGGTGGTAGAACTCATGTGTAGTATGCACAAAGCCCTGGGCTCAATCCCTAGCACAAAAACCAATAATACTAATAAAAATTTATTATGGTACATATTTTTATTGCTTAAAAATACAAGTGTTTAAATGAAAAATGAGAAACTATACATTATAAAGAAACTTTATGCATATAGTTACTCAACTCTCAGACTCACATAAACAAATGAATTCTTTAGAAAGTTATAAAAATTGGAAGATAGATGACTATAATTTGAGGATTCTTCTAAAACCTACACAATAAACCAACATTTATTAGGATAACCAGGTATTACTAAAGAAAGTTGACATTATGGAAGCAAAACATGTGTTTTTAAGAATTTACCAGGAGTATATGAAAGGGCTAGACAATCTTATGAGTTATTTTGGTTGTTTTTGTTTGTTTCAGTTATTAATTGTTATTCTTGCTGGAATTTTATAAAATTACTTATAAGTTAAGAAACAACAACGACAAAAAAGATTGTTTTGCAACACAATTATTTAGGTACTAAAGTTATGTGAGGAAATTGTTCTTGTGTTAAAATTTAGATAAATAAAAATAATTACAAATGCCTTTTAAACATAAGCCTTTTTATTAATCAGTTTTAGATTTCCAAACTTCTAGTATAGTGTGTTTTTCTTTTTAAACCTTTTGTATTTTGAAATTATTAGAAATCTACAAGAAGTTACAAAGATAGTACAGAGTGATCTTGGGTAGCCTTCACCCATAGATGAACCCAATAATAATAATTATAGTAGAAAATCAAAATCAGGAAGTTGAAATTGTTACAATGCATATAGAAATCTTTTTCAATATATAACATTATAGATTTGTGTAACCAATAGTATAATCAAGATATAAAAACCATTCCATCACACAAGGATCTTCTTGTTAGTGCTTTGATTTATGCCTATTACTACTATTTCCTATATCATCAATTTTAATTTTCATATTTTGTGTATTTATTGTCTCCTTTTTGGCTTCTACCTCCACCATGACCCCAACTCCTTCTTTGTTATAAGTTGCAGCAACAGTGTTTGAGATATGAATTTCAGATTCCCTGCAATTTTTTTTTTATCAAAAGGAAAAGCATCATTCTTATGTATCCAAGCAAAAGGTAGAACAGTTTTACATTTAAATGGTAAAAGAACTGGTTGGCTCTGTAGGACCCTCAGAATCAAAAGGAATCTCCTCTACATTTTGTCTCTGTCTTCTCCAGGATCCATATTTCTTGGCAACTTTCATAATATAATTTTTAAAAGAGGCTCCCATAAAAACATATAGGATTGGGTTGAGGCAGCTGTGAAAGAGTGCGATGCTCTCTGTGATTTGGATGGCAACATCCATGCGTTTGCTCATGTCACAGTCAGTGATCAGAAAGAAGATGGTGTCGATGGCTTGGCATAACTTGACAATGTTATAGGGCAGCTGAGTTACAATGAAAACTAAGACAACTGTGAGCAGAACTTTGAGGGGTCGGGCTTTTTTAATGTTTGGCATCTTGATGAGAGTCCTTGCTGTTAGAGAGTAACATACTCCCATAATAAGAAAGGGAATGACAAATCCAATGCAGATTTCCAGTATTTGAATTGATGCTTTCATGTATTTTCCTAGGTGGTGGGGAAAGATGGTAATGCACCTCATGTTGTCATTTACTGTACAAAAAACCAGGTTGGGTATACTCAGCAAGATGGCAGCTGTCCAGACACAGAAACAAATGATCCAGCAAGGTTTTCCCACTCCTGATTGGCTGGGAGCCTTAGTTACTGCCCAATATCTATCTATGCTGATACAAGCCAGAAATTGCATTCCTGAGACAAAGTTTACTGTGTATAAGGCTGATGTTGCTTTACACATCATTTTCCCTAATATCCACCCATGAACTGCATTAACTGCCCAAAAAGGCAGAGTGAATAAGAGGAGTAGATCTGCCACAGCCAAATTCAGGATATATACATCTGTTTTGGTTCTCTGTTTCTTGTAATAGGCATAAATTGCCACAACTATGGAATTGCCTGCAAGTCCAAGGATGAAAGCTATTGCGAAAAAGGCAGGGAGGAAAACTTTTGCAAAATTTCTGACCTCCTCTTTTACACAGATCATTTCATACTGGCTGTAGTCATAAGTGCCATTCATCTCATTTTCCTCATAGTAGTAATCTGTTGACTGGTTCTGCTCCAAAGCCATGACTGCAATCTAGATGGCAAAAAGAACACAAGATACTAATTTTAATATTGCTTAAAAGGAAACAGCTTTTGACCAGCATGTATTCTATTCTTTCCTAGAGAATAGATTGTTGCTATAACATGTGAGCGTGAATCTGCCACCCTTTAAAAAGCTTTAATGGGAGCCACATTGGAGTATATCCCCCAAATTAGTTACCCATCCTTAATTTATGGGTCTGTGTGCAGGAACTGGGATTGACACTGGGATGAAAAACAATACCTTCAGAAATGTTCTTAATCATTAAATCTTAAAATAAAATTGAAGACTTTTATATAAATACAGTTTTTAAAACATGAAAATTTAAGTCAGATTTCAACATAAGAGAATAAAAAAGTTATGATTTTTACATATATAACAATCTTGTGATGTATATCTATGACAAATTTTAAGAAATAATAAATTCATTTCTCATTTTTATGTCATTTATAAATTGAAGATAGATAAATTATCTCAGCATCTGTGCTGAAGATTCATAGTTGGCTTTTATAAAACAAGACTCCTTTAGTCAACTTCCCTCCCAAACCAGTCACTACTTGCTTAAGGTATACTATTATTTGTTAGCACTATCATCCCTCCTATAGCCCCTAATCCTTTAGGCTATAAGCCTCAACAATCCTTGATTTCTCTCTTCATCCTTTATCTCCAAGCAGCCCACATGTTCTGGTTTTATCTTCCAATTTTGTCTTGAATCTGTCTCTTCCATCTAGTCCACACTTTTCCACACACCTGCATGATCTGAGCAATGTGACTCTCACCTGGCCTACTACAGTATCATCCTAGCTGGGATCCTGCTGGATACCTCCTCATCATCTTGTCAAAAACATTTTTCTGATTGTTATTTGAGTACTATATTTCTAAATTGCCAGTCTGCACTTCCCTGCTATCTTCTTTCCTGAAGGACACATTGCTTTCCCTCAAAGTCACATCCAAGCTTCCTAGCGTGATAAGCTCTCACTGTAATGTGGTGCCACTCCCAGCTCCATCCTCATGCTTCAATAGGAATATGCTGCTTTGCCAGCATTTGGTGAACATGCAACATGCTGCATCTCACGTCTGCATCATTGCTCATTCTAATCCTTTATCCAGCATTATTTCCCGCCCTTCCCTTAAGAGCCAGTTCCTACTCAATCAAATCAGATGTTACCGCCTCAGAAGACTTTCCTGATCTAAGACATACCTCCCAAAGAACTGATCCCACCCCAAGGAAAACATGTCCTGGACTGCCTTATCCCTTTAGGCTCTATGATTCCCAAAGTTGGACTTGTTTGATTTGTGATTGTAATTGAAGCCTTGTTAGTGTGCYTGGCACACACTGTAGCTGCTCAGTGAGTATTTGTCAGACTGAAGCTTTGCCGGCATGTTAAAGCTGTTACTCTATAATGGATAGAGGATATGCCAGGAATCTCCTGTTTCAACATGAAGCTGTTGTACTATGTTAGTTAATAATACTTGATAGTACTAAGATAAGCTCACACAGTATTCACAAATTTTAAAAATGCATTTTATACTTTCAATGTTTTTATTATAGTGCTTAGCATTCTTTTGCTTTTTCTTTAGGCTTCCTATCTTCTTTTGGTTATTTTTATCCTTTGAAGAATCCCAAGTAATTATATAGAAACAATAATAAAGATCATATTTCCAAAGCATTTTGCCAACCATGGTACATTTTCAAAAGAACAATCTGAAACTAGCTAACCCTTTTTGAATGAGTAGAGCAAAGTGAAGCTGGCCCCTGGGGAAAGATACCACATGGAAGAATTGTTTTCATTATGCAAAAACCAAGAACCAAAATTTAAAACTACTATTTTTATCACTAAGATTATTTGAAAAGTTCCAGTCTGGAAGACCACTGTGGTCTTTTTTTAATGAATTAATTATTAACATAACATGAACTTCGTTCTTCTCTTTTATCACAGAGTTCTTAAGCCTGATGATAAAGAATAATATATCCAAATAATATAAGATATTCAGGCAGGGCATTTTAAAGTAATGATTAATCTTATTAAAAAGGTGAGCAATAGGAATAGAAGTTATTTGTAGAAATTATCCTTATGGCAGACATATAGAAAGTCTTTAAATGTTTTGTAACTATTATAAGAACAAAAAACAGTGCTTGTAAAAGAAAGCAAAAGAAAATAGCACAGCAAAACCTATTTTATCATCAATGTTTTACATAGAACTACTGGTACTGAAAATATTTTTGCTATATTCATATTCTCATTTTAAGGTTAAAAGTATACAGTTTTAAGTAGTTCTTTTTGTTCATTTAAATATTAAACTGCTATGCATCTATCTAACCTTCCTCTACATAGGTAAAAATACAGAAACCTTGGACTTTAAAAAAATTATATCCAAGTTAGAATGAGAAAAGAAAGAATGAACCAACCTGTTTCAGCCAGCAAAGAGGAGCAGTCTTCAGTGCAGAGGATAAAAATCACAGGGTTTCTTTAACTCTGGCTACTTTTGTTTTCGTTTTTACACCCCGCCTTTATCTTGGATCTACGAAAGTTTCCTGAAATTTTAAACTCATGAGGACTTGGTCTTGTCTTTTATGTAAAACCATTCTATAAAGTCAAATCCAAGTTCTTAAATGTCCCAGAATACAAATTTGGAAGAATTCCATCTTGTTTCCAAAACTACAGACTCTTAAAGTTTCCACTTCGCTGAAGAGAACAAGAAAGTGCCTGCAGCTTAGCAACTGAATGCTAAAGCAGGAGATTCACCAGAAGCAGCAATCTTCTCCTTTTGGATGCATCTGGAGAAATACTCTCTGAAGTTATTTTGTTTAAGAAAGAAAACAAAAATGATTTTGACCCAGAAAAATTATCTTTTTGAAGACTAAATTATCAAAGACTAAATAATGAGTAATCATTATACACTTACAGTAGAATTTAGTACTTTTATGCCACATCATTGAGCATTTTATTTAATCTATAAGAGTCCTGGCTTCTCCTTACTCTTTCTTTCTCCATGCCCCAAAGTGCATCTTTCCCCAGACTTTAAACTGTCCTGCCTGCTTGTAACATTTTCCTTCAAAGACTAAAAAACTTCAAAATCCTTCTGTCTTAGGAGGCTGCTTATTTTTCCATACTTTCAAACAAATGAAAATTAAAGAAAGAAGAAAAGTATATGCAGATGTGGCCCTTTCTGGTCTATTTCAACTCAACTCTTCTCACATTTGCATGGCAGCTGCCTTATTTATTTTCTCATGCAAGGCCAGCCTCAGTCACCACCTGCAGAAGTTATTTTAGACCCCAGTCATTTTTTTCTTCAAGCCTTTAGTCTAGCCTGCTTGTTGAGTCACACAAAACCAGCTCATTGGGGCCTGCCTTCATCTTCCTTCACCTTCCCTTAATATACATCACAGGGGATAGCCAACTTCTCTTATTTTTGCATCACCCTGAAGAAATATCTGCATGCAGCTAAACTGGCTCACTACCTAGATTTGTGGCATTTGCTACTTTCCATGGTGTTAATATCCCACCTTGGTCAGTTTCGAACTACCAAAGTCACTAAAGAGATGGGCATAATTGGCACACTGAGCGGGCTCTAGCAGTTTTTCCAAGAGCAGCATCATTTCTTCCTGTGACTGGTCATTTTCTAATCTCTTGCTGCCTTCTAAAGGACACTGCTCTTAATGTTATCTATGCCTTGGCTAGACTATCTGGTCTTTCCCTTCTTTTACCCTGGCTGGAGGAAATGAACAAACAACCCTCCACTAAATTCTTACAGCAACCTACAAGATCCCAAAAGTCTGCCTTTCCCACCCCTCGTTGCCTCTTTGACCTCATTTCTTACCACTCACCGCTTTGCCTGCCACATCAGTATCCCTGCTGATTAGAACATACCAGGTAAGTCCTCATCATGGCTTTTGTGCTGGCTCTGCTGTCAGTTTGGAATGTGCTTTATCTTAATATTTACAATGCTCACTTCCTCGTCCCCTGCAAGTCTTTGTCCACTCACCACCTACTCACTGAGGCAGTCCCTGACTACTCTACTCAAAACACCCTTCCCCTTCTCCCAGTCTACTTCCTATATCATTTATCATGTTCTAGTGAACCATATCATTCATATTGTTTGCTTCCTACCATCCCTCACCCTGTGTTAGAATATAAGCTTCATCAGAACAGAAACTCTTATTTGCTTTATTCACCGAGATATTCTAGATACATAATAGGTGTTCAATAAATATTTTGGGTTAATAGCAGTCCTACTGTTCCTTTTGATTATTATCCCATTTTACTTGTCCTTGATGTTATACTTCTATAATGACTGATCAATACCGCAGCCTCCTTGGGTATCAATTATATAGTCTCTTCAACCCAGCTATAGATTTTGCAATCAGGAATTGTGGGTTTTTGCATATTCTGTTGCTCCTGCCTAGAGGAGCTCCCTGCTGCTCCATTTTAGATCTCAAATTTCTATTTAGAATTCAGATTCCAGTCTGACCACAACATTAAATAATCCAAGAAGCCTTCCATGACTCTTCCAGATTAGGTCAGATATAGCTGCTCTTATGCCTGTAGTACCATCTTACTCTGTTGTTAGTACTTATTAAAATTTCATGTCTTTTATAGGTGTTCTGTGCCCTGCTGCATTCTCAACATTTATCTTGGTATCTTACTTATGGTACGCACTGACCAAATAATAAATACGTACATCAATCAACCAATGTTTAAATAGTATCCTCCACAAATGTATAAGTTTAACACTTGAGCTGAAATTTTGATTTCACATCTTCAGTTTTATCCACTTATCATGCTATCTGAACACATTTTTAATATTCCATTATGCTGGGCTGAGGCTGTAGCTCAGTGACAGAGCACTTGCCTAGCATGTGTGAGGCACTGGGTTTGATCTTTAGCATCACATAAAAATAAACAAACAAAGGCATTCTGTCCATCTACAACTACAAAATTTTTTTTTAATATTCCATTATGCTATTAGAAACTCTTGATACTATTTTATAGATATTTGAAAGTATCTCTTCCTTTCCCTTGTTTTCCCCACCCAAGACAACCACATTTTCTTGTAAATTGCATTCCCATCTTGTAAATTAGTTATAATGTTATTAATCTTTACATCTTTTGTATTTGCACATCATTTTTGTGAACTCAAACACAATCCTAGGGGCATAAAGGATGTCAGGATTGAGCTGCAACTCTGGTATCATATAGTGAGTTGTGTAGATTGTAGTAAAACCAACCCACTGGCTTTTTCCTGTATTTTCCTATTCTTTGGAGAGAACTAGGAGAGTTGGTGGGAAGAAGAGAGATTTGACAAAATGTAAAAGGTACTCATGTAGCTTAGAAGATAAGGAAAGGCATCATTCACCTTAGATAGGTTTTCAAAGAACTTACTTAATGTTTCTTAATTGTTATTTTTTCCTATAACTTTCTTACAGTTTTATTATATCCCTAAGAACTGAGTCATTATGATTCCAATTTTCTATGAATGAAATATAAAAATGATCTCCTGCCTTGCCCCTGAAGAATGTCTCCCTACATCTATTTCGGCTCTCTTTTTTTGTGGTGTTATTTTGCTCAGTGATAGACATTTGGCTAAACAATATACTACATTATCACTGAGAATATCACTAATATTGGGAGATATACTAAGTATAGCCTTATGATTTCTCTGTAGTATCCTATTATATATTCAATTTATATTGTATGAGTTTCTTACATCATTTTTTGCTTGAGCAAAATGTGTTATTGCAAATTAACTATAAATGACAAATCAGTAACTTAATATTTTATTGTATAGATTATTATAATTTGCTTTACCATTTCCTATTATAGGACTTCTAGATTGTTTCCAGTGTGTTGTTAATCTAAATGATGTGGAGAGCATATTTGTGGATATTGTGTGGAAAGAATTTAAACCTAATCTCACTCTGGAATTTTAAGGAATGTAATAAATGCATATAATTATCCTCTTTTCCCCCTGTACCAAGGTAGTGTTCATACTATTTACACTGAATAATAATCCTGGAGTTCTTTCATATTTGTGCAAAGAAAGTTTGTTTATTATTCTTAGAAGAGTTCCATTATGTGGACATACCACAGTATATTTCAACAGTCTCCTACTCGCGGGCACTGTCTAATGCCTAGTTCAGTGCAAATATTAACAGTACCACTGCAATGAATAATCTGAATCTGCTGCTTCACATGCTTACAGGATAAATCATAAAAGTTGGAATGATGGGCTAAAGATTGACTCAGTCTAAAATTTTGAAGAATATTTCTAAATTGTACTTCATAGGAATTATTACTTTGGTCTCCCAACAATAATTTCCCTAAAATATGGCCTACAGAATATATTTTACCTTCTGCTTTCTAAATAACTCACAACAAATTCAGTACCCTTTACCATTCCCTTACCAGCCATGTGTGAAGCACTGGACAGTAAACAGCTGTTGAATATTAACTTTGCCAGTTAATAGGTAAATAGTATTCCATTAGTGCATTCTTCTGCATTTATTTAATTAATGATAAATTAATAATCTGTTTACATTTTATTTCCTCCTTTTGAAGATCTATTCTTTGTTAACCTGTACACTGATTTTCAGTTGTTATTTATATTCCAAGGATATAATATCATAGTATTAGCTATTATAAATATTTTTTCATAAATGTGAAATATTTTTCCTTTTTTGATTTTTTTATAACCAAAGGTAAATTTATTTTTTCACATTTTTATTGATGCATTATACTTATACATACTCATGAAATTTATTGTTACACACTCATGATGCACACAATATAACAATATAACAATATAATTCTCTAGCACTTCCTCTCTTCCTCTCCATCTTCCTTGATCCAGTTCCTCTATTGATTTCCCTTTGATTTTTAGGAGACCCACCCCCAACTTTGTTTTCATTTTTCTTCTATAGCTTCTACATATGAGAAAAAACATATGACCCTTAATCTTCTGAGTTTGACTTATTTTTCTAAACATGATGGTCTCTAGTTCCATCCATATTCCTCCAAATGACGTAATTTCATTTTTCTTTATGGCTGATATATGTGTACATATATTACATTTTCTTTATCCATTCATCCATTGATAGACACCTAAGCTGGTTCCATAGTTTGATTATTATGAATTGTGCTGCTATAAAGATGGATATGCATATATCACTGCAGTAAGATTACTTTAATTCTTCGGGGTAAATACTGAGAAGTGGTATAGTTGGGTCATATGGTGGTTCCATGCCTCATCTTTTGAAGAGCCTCCATGTTGATTTCTAGGGTGATTGTACTAATTAACAGTCTCACCAACAGTGGAAAAGCTTCCTGTTTCCCCACAGTATAATCCTTTCCAGCATTTATAATTATTTGTATTCTTGATGACTGCCATTCTGACTGGTATGAGATAAAATCTCAATGTAGTTTTTATTTGCACTTCCCTAATTGCTAATGATG